TTACGAACATTGGTTAAAGACTCTTGGGCCCAAAGTCCTTAGAGCCTCAGTATGTTCAGAAGTGGGCACTTACCATGATTTGTGAGTTTCTTGCTGTTTAATGAAGAACTCTGAAGCCCTTTGTTGTCTTGAGGAAGAACAGTATTGTGGCCTGTCACTTTGTGACTAGCCGTGGTGCGTGATCACCTTCATTCCTTGGCTGCTCTTCGGATATTCAAGTAGTAAAGAGGAAGCTGCCAATTCTGCCCCTGCTTTCACGTTTCCTCTACAAATACACTGGTTATTTATCCTTTCACAGCCCCACCTTATGAATGATTACAGCAAAATATCTGGTTCAACCTGAGACCTGGAATATGACACGGTTCCTAATGTACTTTCACATCTATGCCTCTCTTCCCTCCTCCTTGGCTGCTCTTCGGATATTCAAGTAGTAAAGAGGAAGCTGCCAATTCTCCACTTGCTTTCACGTTTCCTCTACAAATATACTGGTTATTTATCTTTTCATAGCCCCACCTTATGAATGATTACAACAAAATATCTGGTTCAACCTGAGACCTGGAATATGATACGGTTCCTAATGTACTTTGACATCTATGCCTCTCTTCCCTCATTTCAAACAAGAGTATTATGCTGTCTTGTTTTTCTTTTTCAAAATATTCTATTATTTTTTAATGTATTATGAATGCATATCTTACCAGGTTGGAATGATGGTTAATTTTCACTTCTAGTAATATGCAGAGCACCTACAGAACAATTAAAGCTAGCCCTTAGAGATGAAGATTTGAAGTCAGCACCAGATTCATTTCTCTTTGTTTCTTCTAGAGCTTTTGTAGTTAGTGCTTTCAGCAATAGGGTTTTACTGTGAAGTTCTGGTGGTTAACCCAGAGCAAGGGAGAAAAATCCAGTATTGTTTGAGGGTCTATGTGACCCCTGGCCAATAGCTTCACTAGGGGAGTCTATTCCTGGTACAGAGCTATTATTTTGCTATAGTATCTAGTAGGAGCATTGCTCCCCTGTAAAAGGTAACTCATTTTAATCTCTGTTAAAATGTATTTATATATACTTTAGGAAGATTCTATAGTGGTAGGTTTCCATATAAAGGCTTTTCTAAAGGCCTTTAATGTAAGTAATCCCTCCCCACAGTCCCTTTTCTGCCCTGCCCTCCCATTCCTCACCCCATTTAACCTCCCTATTCCTTGATTCCCCTCTCCTCCTTTATACCAACCACTGCATTCTTCACTCCTGTCAAGCTTCTCCCCACCATGGTCATTTACTAGCTTCCTGACATCTTTGGGTTGTCCAATTAAAACATATATTTTTTAAGAATTTAAAGCATTAATTTTAATTTACTATGAATCACTGTACAATATCCATTTTAATAATCAAGTTTCCAAAAATTGCTATAAGAGTAGATGAAAAAATTGAAGTTCAAATGGCATTTTGAGGAAAGATCTAGGGATGGAGATTTCCCTGCTTTGTTTCTATTAACGTGCTGATTCTGCAAGTTTCAACTAACTTGCAATCTATGCCAATTATTTACAACCAAACACATGAGGTTATAAACTACTGAACATTTCCTCACCGCTTTTAAGAAACCACATTTTCCATAACAACAGTACAAAGTGAGAATATTTCCTCTATTCCAAAATTTCTTCCATTTGCATTAATGAGAACCAATCGGTTGAGTATTTTTTTTGTCTTTGCTTTTCTTTTTTGTAATTTTAACTAGACATTTGTGCATTTTACACGGAACGTTTTAATCATCTTCATACCTGTTTCCCATTGGTAGCCTCCCACAGCCCTTCCCACTGGAATTCACACATTCTGTCATTCTATTAAAGTCTATCATGTCAAGTTAGTGTCCCGAGACATCCCTCAGTTGAGGGTTCTCTATATTTAAGATTTTCACAGTATTTACATCAACAGTTGCACAGATATCCCCAATTTGCATCCACTTCCAATTCAAGCATATCAATTTGTCTAGGTTCACTCATATACATTGGTTAAAACAGGATTCTCATTTTCATAAGTTTCATTATTTTTCAGACTCAAAACCATACCATTCATTGTTTCATGATAGTAGGGAGAAGAGGAAGAATGGACCACAGGAACAACAGTTCAGCAACTTCTCTATTCTGAATGAATCTCCATGTATACCCAGTACATTTTAGAACAATGGAAAAATGAGTGAAGAAAATACATACACGCAATAGTTATGCAGTTTGGTCAAATTCTCCTAAGAAATAATGTATCAAGGTGGAAAGGGGGGACTGGAAAGACGTCTCACTGGTTAAGAGCACATACTGCCCTTGCAGAGGAACCTAGTTCAAATCTCAACATGCACACTGGACAGTTCTCAATCTACTATAACTCTGGTTCTCGGTGATCCAAGGCCTCTGTCCTCTAAGGGCATCTGCAGTCATGTGCACATACACATACTACACAGACACACACACAAACACATAATTAAAAAGAAAAATAAAGTTATAAATAATGACAGTCAAAAACATTTTGA